TTTAATTTTTATTTAAATGCCCCAAGAAGTACTTATGATCTTATCATAGAGCACCGTCGATGAGCATTTAATTGGAAGTTCACACCTCCTTCCTAACTAATGTCACAAAACTTGCCTAGAGGTTTATAAATTATTACTTATATATTTTATTCATAGCATAATATTTTAAATATTGCAGAAATTTGTATGCTTTTTCACAATCTATTAAACTTTTAACACAAAAGGGCATTTCCATTCCAGTGAGTTAAAAAAAATGAAATTTTAAAACAAATATTTTTTTAATTCGAAAGATGGAATTCAAAAGAAGATAAATGATACTTTGATTATTCAAAAAAAATAATTATAGATGACAAGTGTTACTTCATGTTTTAATTATTCAAACTTCGCAATAAATAAATAAATTTTTATTACATGTGATTATAACATTATAATTGATTTCATATCCCAGATTTTTTTGATTCTTAAAGATAATGATGTCTTTTAATATTTCATTATCATAAAAAGTATCTTGGAGGTATTTTAAATTTAATGCCAAAGTTAACGGGGTTTTGAATTTCTGTGCATGATTAAAAAAATCTAATTATTTAGAAAAAGAAGTGTTAAAAAGTTTCAATGAAAGTGATTTTTTTTACTTTGCGTATTTTTAAGTTACTGAATTGAATGGCAAAAGTATTTTTTTTCTTCTACAACATTGTTTTTTTGCTTTAGCATTGTTTTTTTGCAACATGCACAGACTCATCACGCACAGACAAATATTCATCCGTGCGTGATAATTATTTTTCTTTAGCTTTATAGCATTTGAATCGCATATTTGCTAATTATTTAGTTTGAGTATAATTTGGTTAGATTGAAAACAGTTTCTTAAAAGAATTTAGAATTAAAATGAACTAAGTTAAGCATTCAATAGTTCAGAAAAAATTTAGAAAGAAACATCTAAAATATCAGATTGCTGAAACTAATGGAATGAAAAATAAAAGAGCTAACATCAGGCTTGGGCAGGAATGGCGTGCAATCGCACTCAGTAACTGACCACGCTAATATTTTTATTTCTTTACAACTTGACCACGGCTATTTTGATGTTTTAACAATTTGAATGCAATAAAAAAAGTTTACGTTATAAATATCTTTTAATCATTGATCTTTTCTAAAGTTTTTTATTTTACGCAAAGTCTTTAAATAAAACCATAACATTAATTATAGTTATTGTTTACATAAACGCTTGTGTAATTTATAAAAAATGTTATAAGTATGTTTTTTTTATGTAGGCATTTGTTTTTTATGATAAATTTAAACATTTGAAACTATTTTCTTATGTCTTCTTAAAACATGTTGAAACCATTGATTTTAGAACAAATTTTTTTAAGTTACTTTAATTTGTGAATAAGTTCAAAAGCTTTTGTGAGTACTAACTTTTACACATTATATGTGAATTACACAAGAATATAAAATAACTTTATTTACTTATATAAGCATGTATTTTGTTGATTTAATGAAAAAGTTTTGAAGTATTTTGTAATGTTCATGCTATTAATTTTTATGATTAAACTTAAGATTTTTTAAAATGTTTTAAATAAACATTTTATTTTTTGTAAACAATTTTTTTTTTTTTTTCAATTTCGTTAGAAATGAATGAGATTAAATCTTTTATAATAATTTTTAAATTTGTTACGCGAAGCACTTATTAATAAAGTTGTAATGCCCAAATTAAAATTAAATTAAAAAGCTTGTTGGCAATTTATTTTATCTAAATCCCAGGCACATTTTATTTATTTTTTCTTTTTTTTTCTTTCTATTTTTACAAATAAAAAAGTTCAAAATCTTTTTTTCAATTAGACTCACTAATTAGAGCATGAAATTAGTAAAAATTACTATTTTAAAAAGACTATGTTATTTTTTTAAACAATTTTTTTTTTTGCAACTTTTTTGACAAAAAAAATGTTTATACAATTTCAAAATATTATATAAAACACTTTTAAGTTTTTATTTTCATTTTAGTGCTTTTATAACTTCTTTTTTGTTATGAATTTGTTTTTCGTTTCTTTTTTCGTTAGGAATCTTATTTTCGTTAGGTTTTTTTTTTAATTTTTTTCTTAGTTTAGGTTTAGCTTAGCGTTTCTATATTCAGAACATTTCTGAAATTTTTACTCATCAAAACATATTAACATTGTTTATCAAACAATCGTGCTCAAGTTAATTTAAAATAAAATCATTTGCGTGGTCAGCAATAGCGCTCGATCGCACGCCATTCTTGTCCAAGCCTGTAACATGAGCGAAAAGGAAAAGGAGGAAGTAGGTCAAAAAGATTACGAAAGAAAGAAGGGAAAGCGAGAGGTGAACCAATCTACATCTGATATTGAACAATCCTTTTTATCTCCACAGAGTTTTGCAAAGGCACTTAAAAAAGTTAATTTAGCATTACCTGCCGATTCAAACATAAGAAAATACCTTTTAAAAGAAGTTTGTAAACGTGAAAACATACTACTTTCTAATATTTCAGAATCAGGCCCTGACTGCACCGGTTTGATAAAAGTTTGATGAACATGTTTCTAATGTAATAGATTTATTTGGTATCGATTGCAACAAACTGCTCTTTGTTTTTGACCAATAGTCCTCAGAAAAATGCGCAGAAAATTGAACAACCACTAACATCTTTGTTAGAGGCATATATATATATCATATATATAACACATATATATAATCTGGCAATTGCTTACTGTCAGCAATTGCCAGATTATATACGTCATGTGTATATAAAGCAACAACAAAGTGCATAATTTTGTTAATGTCGCCAAAATGTATCAGAAAATCAATTGATTATACAAGTAAATAAAATTGTAATTTTATTTGTAGTGCGATAACAAAACTTAATAATTTTGTATTAATCTTTTTGTTATATTTATAAACTAACTATTCATCCATTTATATTTTTAATTTTTCTAAAATCAGATGGATTTCAGTAAAAATTACACCATAATGAAGAAAAGTGAAATTCAATCTGCTTATTTGGTTCATCAGCAACTAACAGTATTCACTGCTGCAGTTTGGAGTAAGAACAATACACATTCCTATGCCATTGTATCCAATCGTTTACTTCATGATAAATATGCCGTCTTGTTCATTATCAAACAATTATCAAGTCGTTATCATAATATTTGTAAATTACACTTTTTCACTGATGGTCCTTCATCACAATTCAAAAACTCTTTTGTCATGACAGCCATGAATAATTTGTACAAATTATCATCTGATCTTCTTGAGATTTGTTGGTCATTTTTTGCAACATCACACAGAAAGGGGGCAGTTGATGGCATAGGTGGAGAAATAAAAAGAATGGTTTAGACAACAGTAAAATCTGGAAAACGATATTGTTGCAGTTAACTTATAGTTAAAAATTTGATATTATATCTTTCTTATCTTTAATATTTTACTAACTATACAATACATTATTTATCAAAAATATAATACATTAAAGTATTGTTTTTTTAATCAAACGTGTATTTAATTAATTAGTATTGATATATATGCTATATATGATAGTCACAATCAATTTATTCCCAAAAATACAATCCAAAAATGAATAATGTTTGCATGTTCCATAATGCAACAGATGCAATGTTCTGTGCGTGATTATTTTGAAATGTCCTAAATGTTTTCTGTTTTTTTAAATCTTCACTTCCAACAAGGCTGCAAGCAACCACTGATCAAGTTGAAAATTACTGGAAGAGAAAAGATAAAGTTTATAAAGCAAGATAACAATTAACAGATGACTTGAAAGATTGCAAATTATAAAAAATTAGGAAAACAAGATGAAGGGAGAGAATTCCAAAGAACTGATATTCAAGAAAATAAACTAGATGAATAAGAATTTAAAGGCACAAGAGACTCTAGCTCTTTAGAGCAGCGCCCATTATAGTATTTGTAGAAAAGAGAAAACGAAGCAAAATTACAACAATATGACAATGGTTGCAGTTAGGCTGTAAAAGCAGATCCGCGCCTCAGATTTGGCTACAGTAATCCATACAATGACGGATTTAAAATTTATAGAGATAAAAAATAGAATCGAGTAAGAAAGTGGTGAGCACAATAAAGAGATGCAACCTTAGCAGATGCTAATTTTGCAATTGATTTATTAAATAGTTTCCAAGGAAGATCAGAAGTAAGAGTTAACCCTAGAAGATAAAGGGTGGATGACTCGTCGAGTACATTACCTTTCATAAATAAAGGAAGATCTAGATTATTGGGATAACAATTAGCTGAAAAAAATTGAGTATTATCTGAGTTGAAGTTCACCAGCCACTAAGAGATTCATGCCCTCCAAGCTCAAATACTTGCTCCAAACAATCAAAGATTGTTGGCTTCTTAACAAGACAAGAATAAATAGTAGTTTCATCAGCAAACAATGCCACCTTAGATGTGAGAGTATCTGGAAGATCGTTAATGTAAATTAAAAAAAGTATAGGGCCAAAAATAGAATTTTGAGAAACCCCTGAAATTACAGAAAATGAAAAGGAGTGCTGTATATCAAAGACAACTTTTATACTACAATTAGTAAAGAATGATTCAATAATCTTAAAGTTGTTATGTGATAAGAGGAGAGCATATGAATAAGACCAGCATGCCAAACTTTCTCAAAAGATTTAGAAATGTTTGTTAATTAAACACTCAAAAACTTTGCTTATGAAAGTAAGAAGACTAATGAGATGGTAGTTAGACGAGTCAGATCACTCGGCAGAATTTTTGAAAATAGGGATAAGAGATGCCACTTTTCTAACAGGCTAGAAAATCAGACTCTGATAAGCACTTGTTAAATAGTTTTGAAAATATAGACAACAGCTCCTGAAAAAACTTCTGCAAGACTATAACAGGTATGTTGTCCAGTCCACAAGCTGTAGAAGAGTTCAAGTTGGAAATCAATACAGAATTTAGATACAGAAGCTGGAGTGATTCGAATGTCAAGCAATGGATCAACCTGTTTGTTTGCTATATCAGGTAGGATGTAATTAATGGAATCAAGAGATAAGATTGATGAAAAGTTATTAGCAAGCAATTTAGTTTTGTCTTTAGGTGAGGTAACGAAATCTGAAACATGCAATAGAGGAAGAATAACAGATATGCCATTGTTATATGTTAAAAATTCTCCAGAAGTCTCTAGAGCCTAATTTTTGAGATGAAATATGAGATTTTGTAACCTGATAATAATGGGCTGAGGCAATAGACAATCTTTTTACAATGGTTTTTAGCAATAGTAAACAGATGCTGTTTTCTAGAGAATTGTTTTACTGATAGATATGGAAGTAACTATTTCGATTGGAAATTGAAGCAGCACAATGAGGAAAACCATGGAGAAGAGTGAGGCTTGACTTGGGATTGTTGAGAGGCAATAAAAGATTACATGTCAGCTGAAATCAAGAAATTACATAAGAAGTACATTTGCCCCAGGAAGACAAAAGATTTCTACCCAAGGGCCATTAAGAAGAAAATCATGGAAAGAGTCCCAGTCAGCTTTAAGGTAATTGTAAGAGGTACAATGATAGGGGGATTCTGATGATGAAGAAGAATCGGATAATAGTTTTAGAGTGATCAAATTGTGATCAGGAGCACCTAAGGGTGAATGTGGAGAAACTGAGTATTGACTAGGATCAAAAACAAGACATAAGTCGAGTAGAGAAGGTAAATGATTCAGGTTGTCTGGAAAACGAGTTAGAAATTGACTTTTTGTGTTAGAGATTGAGAAAGGCAAAAGTTGTGGGCCTTAACACATGCAGAGTTACTGACACTAGAACCAAGCTATTCAGTGTGATGAGCATTTAAGTCACCAACAACAACAATATTGGCTGAAGAATAAAGAGAAAGGGCTTGGTCAAATTGATCAGAAAAAAATGTGACTATTGGAGTCTTTACAAATTAGAGGAAGATAACCATCAACACTAAGATCACTAGATGAGACAGTTAAAATCAAATTAGTCTGACAAAGAGCAAGTAGGTCTGGTGAACTTTGCAAGATATAAGACTCAACATAAGAAAAATTACTTCAAAGACTACAAATATTAGTGAATGATAGATTTAAAGAATTTGGTGATAACAATGGTTTTTTTGTGTTTTATAGTTTTTGATACTTTAGTTATTTTTTAAATTGGTTAAAGAACTTGACTCAAAGCACAGATAGTACTCAGTACATTATTTAATAGTCCAAGCAATAGCCTCATTACTATTAGTAAACCCTGAGTTGTAACAAAGGGCTCCAAATGCAGCCTCAAAAATGCATACCAAAAGTATGAACAAGGACGCCATCCTTGTGCAACATGGAACTGTTAGTACTCTGATACTTTACAGCTGTTGATGGAATCAGCCTCTCTAAGAGCTACAACAAAGTTTAGTAAACCTGACTACCAGCCAGCTTCAAAACAATAAAACTGAGTTTTAGAGCTGTACCCTCATTAGGAGATAATAGAATGAGTTGCCTAATAATAAAAACAAGAGACACAAGCAAAACCCATGCAATGAGTCAAAAAAAAGGTCCAGCATTCAATATCATTAACTAGAAATAATATATTATAAATTTATTTACGCCAGCCTAATAGATGTAGAAGGTGTGCAAAGCTGGTCAACAGATAGAATATGTCTTTGCTTAGGAGGCCTTCTACAAGGCCTTAGGAGGCCTTCTACAAGACAGTAGCCGGATACATTTAACATCTGCCCAATATGAATAATTTTATCAAGACACAAATTATAGCCTTTACTCAACCAAGAGCCCCAACTAAGGCAGGGATGTGCTAAGACAGAATTGGCATCTTCTAGGCTTTGCCTAAAAAAGTGCACCCTACAAGACAGCAGGACATGAAACAGGTTGCACTGGATTACCAGTAGTAGGATAACCTGACCTGACAAGAAAGCATAATAAATAAGCATAATATACTCTTTCATCATAAAGATACTCTTTCATACAGATTATAAACTCTTTTGATGGAGCAAGTATTTGTAAAAAATCTTTTGTTAAACATCTAGTATTTTTGTAGTGGTAAAATGCTCATTTTGCAAAGTGTACAGAGTTCTAAATCAACACATCCCTGGAATCAAGCTCAATGTGTTTTTCTGCATAACAATCTTATTGTCAAAGTTCATTTTTCGGAGTTTAAAAGATAAGAATGGGGAAAAATAAGAGAGAAAAAAATAGCCTCTTCAACTATAGTGGCCTGGATCTTGAGATGGTGAATATATAGAAAGTAAAATTTTATAAAAATAACTTTTGATTGTCATAAAAAGTTGATTCACTTATATAGTTTTTTATACAACTGTTTATATAGCTATAGATATGCAAAATAAAAGTTAAAAGTAATCAACAATTTTAAGAAAACTTAAACAACTTTCAACAGATAAAAATAATCATAATCCTATCAGAGTTTTTTAAATATTCTTCTTATTAAAGTTGTTTTACAACAATAGGTAATATGTGAAAATAAAAAAAATATATATGGCTTTGGTTTTCCTTAACTTAAGCCATCTAAATTATAATAGTGACACGAAAAAGTTATAAAAAATTTTTGCGATTGGAATTTTTTACATTATTCCAAGCCCTGATAGTTGTAAATATTATTACTATTATAAATGTCATTGTTATTGCTAATACTATTATCATTGTTATTATAATTATTGTAATTTTTGTAACTGTTATTATTAGTATTGTTACTATTATTAGTATTATTTACAAAATTTTATCAAAAGTATTACATTTAAATTGAAAATTTCAAAAGCCTTGACATATAGTAGAGGTAAAACAAAAAAAACAACTAAAGAAAAAAAAACTTACGAGCAAATTGTGTTGTTTTTGTGTTATGATCTACAAAGTATTGTCTTCCGCTTGCTGTATACCGCACTTCCCAACCTTCTGGCAATTTATTAATATTATCATTATTACTAATGGGTTGTTTAAGTAATGTTGGATCATGCCAAGTTGATTGGCCGGTAACACGATTTACAAAATAGACTTGCCCTTGAGGAGTAGTTCTGCGCTCAAAATTTTCTGTGGAATCCTTATGAAGAAGTGTTCTATTTAAATATAACCTATGTCTATCAGCTTGGTTATTTCCAGAGTGTATGCAAGGCAGACCTGCTTTATTAGATTCTGTCGAAAATTTTTTTAAAGGAAAAGATACCATACTATTTTCTTCAACTGCAGGGAGTGGAATACTTCTTTCAGTTGATTGTCTATGTAGTTTTTTGAAGATATAGACAGGTAGGAAACTAGCCCCATTTAGGTCATTAACTAAATTGTTATCATTTGCAAAAGTATCTGAACAGGCATTTCCAGATCTTCTGTTTTGAATTGAAATATTAGGCACAGCAGAATTAGGCAAAGATGAGTTTGTTTGAACAGTAACAGAATGCCCTGATATATGGTTAGTTACCCTTAAAAAAAAAAAAAAATCAGTGCCAAAAAACTTAAGTTTTACAAATATAACAATTACAAGTTTTTGCAACACTGATTCTATTTTTAATTATACTTATATTTCCATTTTTTCACTATTGTTATTTATTCATTTTACACTAATAGTTCCAATTTTATGGATCGTGTATCACATAAATAAAACCAGGTTAAAAACAATGTGATTTTCTTCCAATTAAAATAAATTTAAAAAAATCTAATAAAATTGCACAATAGTGGTAAAGTGCTTGCTTAGTAAGAAAAAGTTCCAGGTTCAATCCTCGCCATGTCCTAGTAGTACTGCATAAATTTATCTCTCTACTAAGAAACTTGGTTTACCAAAATTCATGTTTCCCGGCTTAAGAGTTGAGAAAGGGTTGTAACAACAACAACATACAATAAAAAAGGAATAGCCCCTTTGACTGTAGTGGTTCCTCAGCCTTAAGTAGGTTAATAAAAAAAAGTCATAAATAAAGAAAAATAACTTACAAGACATCATCATTGGGAACCAAAAGTACATTGCCAACCAGATCAACTACAGCTGAGCGACCTTTGTTATATTCTTTAGAAGCTATACTAACTTAGCATGGAAAAATTAATTATATTTTACAAATTATCACTTAAACATTAGTTTATAAACTCAAATAAATATATAACTCAAATAAATATATATTGATAAATATATAACACTCTACATAAAAAAAAAAAAAAAATCATAACCATGAATCTATCATGATCTGCAAAATATCATTAAGCACCACAATGTAAACATCACATAACAAGCAACACAAATACACATATATACTATTACAAATTATCACTTAAACATTAGTTTATAAACTCAAATAAATATATAACTCAAATAAATATATATTGATAAATATATAACACTCTACATAAAAAAAAAAAAAAAATCATAACCATGAATCTATCATGATCTGCAAAATATCATTAAGCACCACAATGTAAACATCACATAACAAGCAACACAAATACACATATATACTATTACAAATTATCACTTAAACATTAGTTTATAAACTCAAATAAATATATAACTCAAATAAATATATATTGATAAATATATAACACTCTACATAAAAAAAAAAAAAAATCATAACCATGAATCTATCATGATCTGCAAAATATCATTAAGCACCACAATGTAAACATCACATAACAAGCAACACAAATACACATATATACTATCTCTGTGTACTTCTGGTCGACACTAATCCCGATCTATTTTACACACTTTTTTATTTTTTCAATGTTTAATTTTTAAACATTTTTTCAATTCCATTTTTAAACTTATAATAATTTTGAAATGCTATAAAGACTATAAGTATTGAAAGATAATCCAAGAAGAAGGAGACTGAGTAAGAATACTGTCATCAATACAAAGATATTATGACCTAACAAGTTTACAATTTTAACTTTAAATATAACATACCAGTAATCTGCCCTGTAATATATTCATTATCATCTGAATTGACATTTGTAAGATTCAAACTGTGATCTAAATCATAGATATGAATTACAAAATATCAACTTATTATACATCAACTTATTGATAACAATAAGTAAATGCAAAAAAAAAAAACAATTACTTACATCCCTTGTCTTTTAACCTTTCTATGGCTGTTGGTAAAACTTTTACAGCACCAAGGAAACCGGCACCTCTGCGCTTGTGGACTTTACGTTGATTCCATACACTTATAGTAATTGATTCAGTGTGTGCTACAAACCTTAAAAATTCAGTTCAACAACATAAGCTTATTAATATCCATTCTTTTATTTACATTTTTTTACACTTCATAATTTTAAAGTGATATTTAAGATATTTTGTTTACACTAAAATAAAAATATTAGCTTGAGAAAAGCCTTACAAATCATAATACTGATTCCATTTTGGATCAACTGTTTTCTTTAAACAACAAGTGGTGTGGCATTGACCGCTACCATCAACAGAAATTCGTGCAAAAGGATCAGGTAAGCCTGAAAATAAACTAGCACCCATACTATTTGCAAAATATGTGATAAAAAGCAGACAAAAACTGATTTTAAATATAAAATTTGATTTTAAATAAAAAATCAATTATAAATTTTGTGTACTTTTTATAAAAAAAATTTTTAAAAACTCTCAAAAATTATAGTTAAAAACTTACGAAAAAAATCTCTTTTTGCAATATTATTTGCGCATAAAACTAAAAAAATAAAGATGTATTATTAATATGTGCCATATCAATGTGGGAGTATGGGTGTGTGTAGGAGGGGGTGGGACAATTGTATGGGTGTGTTTCTCTCTCTCTCTTTTTCTCTCTTTCTCTCTCTCTCTCTCTCTCTCTCTCTCTCTATATATATATATATATATATATATATATATATATATATATATATATATATATATATATATATATATATATATATATATATATATATATATATATATATATACATATATATATATATATATATATATATATATATATATATATATATATATATGTGTATATATATATATATATATATATATATATATATATATATATATATACACATGATGAGAAGCGAGAGCTTTAGCTCTTGCTCTGGCCTACACTCTCCTAAGATGGTTTATGGGAGCAGTTTACGGCTCTCACAAAAGTATAATTTTTTCTCACAATAGTATAATTATCATTGTAACTAAAATGAAAAATACAAAGTCATTTATACAAAAAGTATAAATTAATTGCATAATAAATTCCAATGCTCTTTAAATAGCACGCTTGTTGCACGCACACACGCAAAAAAAAGTTAAAAAAGAATACCAATTGAAATGCACATGTTTTTGATTAGATTGGGCTAACTGATAAATATAAAATCATTACACTCTAAATTAAATTGACAAAATATAAAATTATTCAACTGATAAAAAATACCAATTGAATAAATAATAAAATATTTACTCAACTTATTATTAGTTATTCAACTGATAAAAAATACCAATTGAATAAAGAATAAAATAAAATTATTATACTTTAAATTATTGCATAATAATTTTTATTTTATGTAATATATTTTATACATTATTTACTTTAATATATAGCTCACTTTTATTGTGGATTTTTTAATTGTTGCAATAATTCTTAAAATGCCTGAATTCTATTCTATAAGAAAATATAAAACATTTTTTATAAGCAGTAGAAAGTTATAGTTCTTTGCCAAATTTTTTATCAAATAAGTAATGTTAACAAATAAATAAATAGCTAGTGTGAAAACCAAAACCTGAATCTCATCTCATCTCTGTTACAGATTGAGGTTTGCAGTGGTTTTTGAATTTTAACTCCAACAAAGTTGTTTACTGCTAACAACTATAGCAATACTGTTAATATTCCTTGAATGAATTAATATTCCTTGAATTCCTTGAATAACATTCCTTGAATGAATGAAATGAATGGCAACCCTCTAACTGATTCCTATTCTTTACATCTTACTAATGACCTCTCATGGAAACTATATATACCATCGACTGTTAAGTTAGTATAACCTTTAGCTAAGGTTGCTTCACTTTATCATGTCACCATTTTCTTACTCCTAATACCATACTCTACCTCAAATCTCTACTCCTCTATAAATCTCTATTTCGCAGAGTAGTGAATTGTAGCCAAATCAGGCCAAAATATTGTGGGAATTTCATGCTTTCTAATAAATGACATAAGGCATTTCTTAAGGAATTCTTTTATATATAAATCTGCAATCAAAGTTCAACAAGTAATGTACGGTGTACTTTTAATGTACTTTTAATGTATGGAACAGATTGTTTGCCATATAATTAACTTGGGAACAAATTTTTCAGTTTAAATATACTTGAATTTTTTGGCAGCATATCTACCTTTTAACTGATAAAAATATTGCTGCCCTTGCAATTGTGAATAGTCCTTTTTGCAATTGGTATTATTATTGCAATTGGTATTATCGTCTTCAATTATGCACAAGTTTACTCTGTTTAAAAGTTTGTATAGCTTTTGTGAATGACAAATGGCTTTAATTTCTCCGAACTACATAGAAAAAAAAAGACAAAGTTTGAGTTTCAGATTGACTTTTTCTGTTTACAAAACCCAATTGTTTATTTATTTAAATATATAATACCGTGTAATATCACTATGGCATTAGCGATAATATGGTCAAGTTAGCAAAATTGTTTATAAAAAAAAAACATTATCATTGTAACTAAGATGAAAAAGTCATTTTAAAAATATATTAATAATTTCATAATAAACTACAATGCTTTATTAAAGCACGGTTATTGCATAAAAAAGCCAATTGAAATGCAATGTTTCTAATTAGATTAGATTAACTGATTGGTTTTTTAAATAAAAAATTAGTTTCTTAAAAAAATCATATTAATAAAAAAGAATTTGTAATAAGAATGAAATTAAAACTAAAGCTCTCGTAAAAAGCTTTCTAGAGGAGCAGCTCACATGACTTACCATATTTGTTTTAGGAGAGCTTTTTTCCGCTCTCGCACTCATTTACTTCTGCCATGGCTTGCAATATATATATATATATATATATATATATATATATATATATATATATATATATATATATATATATATATATATATATATATATATATATATATATATATATGCATATATGTATATGCATATATATGTTTTTTTTCGCAATAAAAATGTCGGGGTACTGCCGTTAAAATAACTTTTATTAGAATAGTCCCTGATATATATATATATATATATATATATATATATATATATATATATATATATATATATATATATATATATATATATATCAGGGACTATTCTAGTAAAAATATTTTTGCGGCAGTACCCCCTTCGGGGTACTGCCGCAAAATCGGCATTTTTATTGCGAAAAAAAACAATATTTAGCGTAAAAACATTAAAAAAACCGTAAATAATGTAAAAAAAAAAAAAAAAGATCCTCAAATTTTAATTGGGCGGCGCCTAAATACGCGGTAGTGGTGTAGTGGTATGTATTATGCGGTAGTGGTGTAGTGGTAACAGCGCTCGCTTTGTAAGCGAGAGGTTCGGAGTTCGACTCCCACCATGTCCCTGGAAGTACCGCGCTCAACTTAATTTCTCCGCGCAGCGGCCTTGCTTGTCAAGGTTCGTGTTTTGGAGTTAAAGAGTTGAGAGAGGGTTGTACCATGATTTACAACAAAATTGATTTACATATATACATATATATATATATATAAATATACATATATATATATATATATATATACATATATATATATATATATATATATATATATATATATATATATATATATATATATATATATATATATATTTATATATATATTTATATATATATATATATATACATACAAATAGTATTACATACTAAAGTAAGCAATCTGACGTCATACTGAAATAGCCTGCTGCTGGGGGCTTCAGTACATACATCAACTGACAAATAGCCTGCTTATAAAAATACACTTTAGTAAGTGTATAGATATATACATATATATATACATATCAGAGCTGTTTTCAAGTCGCTTTGGAGCAAGTCTCAAGTCAAGTCTCAAGTCACTGAGGTGAAGTCTCAAGTCAAGTCTCAAGTCATATAGTGACATGTCAAATCTCAAGTCAAGTCATATTACAATAAAAGATTCCCGTGCATGTGGTGGCTATCAGTGACGCGTCTAGGAGTTCGGAGGCTCCTTCCAAAACCTGTCATAAAAACCACGAAAATCCTCTCCACGAAATTCATGAGTTAAAGAAAAAATGAACCAATCAGAATGCACACTAAAAAGTTGGAATTTTTTGAAAATGAAAGAGTCTAAATGCGATATTTTTCTTCAGATCTCGCTTAGGCTACAAACCAGTTAAACGTAAAATAAAAACATTCGAAAATAAAAAATAGTTAAAAACAGTTGAATTAAAATAGAAGATAAATTGCTTCATTTTTGAAGAGACGGAAAATAATAATTTTAAAGTTGCTAAGCCGAAATTAGCAAGTCTCGAGTCAAGTCGCAAGTCTCAAAGTAAAACCCAAGTCGAATCTCGAGTCGAGTCACTGGTGTGACTTAAGTCGGACTCGAGTTCGAATCGGTTGACTTGAGTCTCCAGCTCTGATACATATATATATATATATATATATATATATATATATATATATATATATATATATATATATATATATACAGGAAGGCGTGCGATTTTAAGTCTTTATATGACTATGCAAATAATATTTTGTTTGATGATTTAACCATGGTTTTTAAAGGGATCCCTAAGTGCTCCTAACATATGATCTCATATGAAAGAGCATAAAAAAAAAATATGTAAGTTTTTTTTCTTTTTCACTAAATTGTAATAATAAATGCATGCTAACAAAAAGCAATTGCCGAAATCACTGAAAAACAACTCCATTTTGATTTTATTTTTTCACCATTCAAACTCGATTGTTAGTCGTTAAAAATCACGTTAGTACGTCACAACAACTTTAAAATATCTACTTCGATTTTCAAGTAAAAAAAAATCGTAATTAAATAATTAAGTTTTAATCAAGTTTTTTTAATTAGTTTTGCAAAAACAGTATATCATTCGGTTGAAAGACGTCGTTAAAAAAAAGTTATTAAGTAATAGTTTTTAATAGTTTAGAACTTATAAAAAAGTCTTACAGGGCTCATATTAAGCGTATCGCGAGTGCGATTGCTTTTCACACTTTTGTGATTAGTTTTTTCTTAAAAAAAATCTTTTCGCGATTTGTTTTTTTTTTGGTTGTTTAATTACTTTTTTTCTAGCTTAGCATTTTTTTTAGCAATCCTTAAAAGTAATGTTTTTATCATAAAGAACGTCACACAAAATTTATTATTCTGAATAGATACATTTGCTCTTTCCACGGAGATTTTCTTTCAACGTTAAACATTTTTGAATTTAAATTACTTTAAATCTCTGCGTGGAAAATTTTTACTAGGTCGTTAAAGCGAAAAGTTGAAAAGTTGGTTTTTATCTTTGTTTATCAAAACTTCATGTTTAAAATAAGGCTTAAAAACGTTAGAGCAAAAAAAATACTGACTTTTATTTGCATTTTTATACTGTTTGAAAAAAAAGCTAATAAAAAAGAATTAATTTTTATTATTATTAATTCTAATAATTATTAATTAATATATTATTAGTTAATTCTTTTTTATTAGTTTTTTTTTTTCAAACAGTATAAAAATGCTAAT